CCTGAATCAGTCTTTAAATGTTGATATAGTTAGGAGTAATGTGTAGCTCAGATACACTCTGTTATTTAAACACTTCCTCTACCAAGCCATGTTATTTTAAACAATTGGTAAGTGAATCACTTGCAGAGGTCTCTGCAGAACTGAAGATTAATACTGTTTTCTCCAGCATGAGACATTCAAATTCATTCTCTGGAAACCAACAGAAAACACTAACTGCCCCCCTGGGAAAATGAAAGCAATGCCATAAAGTCAGTGGAGGGTTACATTACAATTGTCATAAAGAATTCAGACATGTGAAATTATAAAAGCCAAAATAAAACAAAAATGGTTTAACACAGGTGAATGTCAATGCCAAACAAGAAAAAGGCAGTGAAGCTGCAGTTCCTCTGGGTGACTTCAACAAAACAAAACTGCATGCATACAAGGAATTTTAAATAAGGGAAAAATATGAATGTGAATAAAACTGAAATTAAAATCAAACAATGTACTGACTAAAAGGAAGGATGGAAAATGCAAGCAGCTAGCTGGTAGGAAACATTAGCTATAGCAGATGTGATTGCCATTAGCTTGAGATGCATGTTAAATTAAAGCCAGCATCCGCTCTTACAGAGATAGCCTCAGTCATCTTAAAAGAAAGGTTAGTTTGGAAATCAAAACTTTAAAAAAGGATTAAAGGCAGAACTTGGGAGAGGTAGAGAGGACTGATGTCTGATAACCATAGGCAAATGTTCACAATCCTGGAAGGTCGTTCTGCAGCTTTCAATGAGCAGCATTAGATTTCACAGGAGCTGGTGAAGATTCTGTGTGTGGAAATCAACAAAACCTTTTAGAAATGCGAACGTAGGACTCCATGATTTGACTTCTTTCTAGACAATCAAAGCTGAGGAAGCAGTAAAATAGATGCTGATGACGAATGCTGAGGAAAGGAAAACGAAGTCCCAAAGATTTTCTAAATAATGACTAGCATTTAACTGAGCAGCACTTACACAAAGAGAAACAACAGCAGGCATCATAAAATACTGGGACCCTGAAAAATGTAAGTAGCACGAATGAGTAACTCAGTCACAAAATTCAATTGCACAGTTACTGAGGCTGGATGTAATTTCTGAAAACTGAGGAAAAGCACTTCCAAAATGATGGAATTACAAATTGTAAAATAGGTGGTAGGAACTATCATCAGAGAAATCACAAACAGCAAAGGAACTGTGTCATCTAATCAGAGTGCTGAGAGCTGAGAAATAAAGAATGAAGTGGAGGAAACATACCTGGCAGGGCCTTCTTAAAATTGTTCCTAGCCGCTGACTGAGTAATAAGACCAATCAGAACTACTTAACACCAGGAAAACAGTGCAGTAGAAGAGGTGAAGTGACCCAAACTGTCACTATTTGATATCCTGCTCTTCCCATTGAACCCCAGTTATGTAGTACTGGCTACCTAAATTTATTCTCATAAATACTATACTGAAATCACTGTTTGAAAGGCAGTCATAGTAAACTTGGTTTAGGGTCATTAATTCTAAAAAGAATTAATGTGTTTAGCTAAGAGTTTATTTCTCAGTTTGGGACTTCTGAAAACATGAAGTTCAATTTTATTTGACTACCCTTATCTTAAGCAATAAAATTGTGGTTTTGAACATGCATCTACCTTATTTCTAGAATATTGTACAGATTTAAAGCAAAGATCAGTTGCTAAATAACAAGTCAAAAGTAAGAAGCAGACAGCTTTGTTTAGTGAGGATCTAAAATAAACTTAGGTAATTCTCACATTTTAATTTTACTGTAGTAAATTTAAAAGTATAACTAACAACAGTGTAAAACTTGAATTTGAGGCAACTATAGTTTATTGCTTAATAGTGTGGAGCAAGGAAATTTTTAGAGCTACTGAGTCAATAAGCCCAAGTGAAAAACTACAGCAAATTCAGTCAAAATACAATTATATATGAAATCTCCAAGGGCTATGAAAAGTTAGGAAATAGGGAGCTTTCAGTAAGTATCTTTGTTTTGTGACACTGCATTGTGACTTGCCATTGGCTCTGTTAAGCATGTAACAAATCTGTAACAGAGACTGTGTGTTTATGGGTATTGCTCAACCTCCAGTAACAACTGAAAGCTCTTACCAGCAGATGACTGAGGGACTGCAAGAATCATTTTGGTTTTGCACCAGTCTGCCAGTGGATAGGTGCCCACACTGTAATAAGTACTAATAAATAATCTTTCCAGGAACTTTGTCAAAGAACTATGGTTTGGATGCATGTGGGAAAATTAGCTATTCTTGCTCAAAAAGCTGGGTTTTCAAATCAGGATTTTCATGTGTAATGGGACAAGATTAGATCCTTCATCCATCTTCTCTTTTTCTAGGCGGGGAAGCAGTCCTTAGAGAACAGTTTTAGTTGAGATGTTTTTAGGAAAGTAGTTTTCCAGTGCACTGGCTTTCTTAGAACTGAATGAGAATAGCACAGGGCTACCAGAGAGTCCTGACGCTTCTGCTTGGACATGCCAGCTCTACCACTATGGCTTTGCTTCTTGGGATGCTTACAGGGTATCTGAAAAGCAGGCATATATTCTTAAGTACCTATACTACTTTTGGGAAGGCTGTGCAAGAACTGTGGGGGATATGATAGTAGTATTTGCTTCTGCCAGCATATTGCCACGCACAAACATAATTCATGCAATTTAGCCCTTAACATTTAGAAACGTCTTTATGAAAAATTGCTGCAATACTTCCAATAAAGTAGAGAAATCTCATACTAAATCTGACGCTAACAACTTGATCACAGGGGTACAGGATGCAAGTTCTAATAACAAAATCAGCCAGCTACTATCATGCAGTTGAGTGTAGATTATTATAGGATTTGTACAAAAGGGAGTTGCTGCTGCTATTTTATTTTTTTCCCGTTTTTTATACTGATAGCAAATATCTCTGTTTTGTTCTGTTGTGTTGACATGTAGAATCTTCCTGTTATTAGCAGGTACTTCTTGAAAATATATCAGTTTATGAGTTTTCAGCGATAAATCAGTGGCACAAATTTCCTTCCCATTTTTGTTGACCAAGGGTTTGAATATTAAGTAAGATTTTGTTTACTCTCACAACAACATGGGTAATATCTGAAGATTTTTTTATGCCACAAGGTAGAAACTAACTGTTAATCTCTCCATGTAATAACAACTATCTTGAGTCTATATTTGGAAACACAAAACCAAACTTAAACACACGATGTTGATGTTCTATTCTTGTGTAATGTCTCCTATTATCTTCCTAGTATGCATTTTCTGACATTTTTACCATTCCCCTGATAAAATTATAAATGCTATGACACAATAAACATTACAAGTGCTATCCCAAATAAAATATGTTGAGAAGAGATCAGTGACATTATTTAAACAAACAAAATATTGTTCCTACCATAGTTGCTTCTGGAAATTGAAAAGTGAAGATGAGACAGGGGATGAAATAAGGACTGGGAATTTGCCCTTGAGTTTCAACCCATTTTGGGTTGAAACTAAACTTTATTTTTAAACAGGGGCAACCTAAATAACTTTTATGAAATCCTCCGGCCAGAGATTCCTTTGATGCATGGGTAATTTCAGCTGCTTACCTCTAGATCAAAAATATTTGGAGTGGTGTTCTCCGAAATCAACACCAGATACTTGAATAATCCTCACAGATGTTGGTACTTTAAATAGAAGAGGTACTGTCATTCCTACAAAATAAACACATAGTAGGATGGAAATAAAAAAAAATCCCTACAAGATGTTAAAGTGTAAACACAGGCTCTTGCAGTAAGTACATGGAGAACTACAGTGAGAAGTGAAAAAGCTGGGGAAAGGAGTCAGACTGTAAATTAGAAGGAAAAGGGGAGCTGGCAAGTCTGTCATTTAATCCTGAGGACAAACGTCCTAAATAACGAGACAGTTAGGAATGTAAAGTTGGCAACGGAGACAAACTACTCAAAGAGAGCAGAAAGGGGAGGACAAGAGAGACTTAAAATCGAAGGCAGGAGTTTTGAGGTCTCCTCAGATTCAAGTCAAAGAACTTCTCTGAAATTTGTAATAGCGACATGGACTCTAAAAAGCCCAGTAGTTAAACAAAAGATGTTATGTTCAGCGACCAAACTGGAAGTCATAAACCCAAACCAGAAATCAAAAGCAAACGTCAGATGGTATCAATCATCATAAGGGGACATAGCAAATTCTTCATTACCTTGAAGTAATCCTTCAATTGTGATCTAATATGCTCATTTGTTCGAAGATTCTGGACTGTGTGCGCTGATGCCCCCTACCCTTCCTCAGTGTCAGAAAATGCAATCAGGGAGTTGTGAAGCGTTGAAAATTTACTGTGGTCTTCCCTATTCTTTGCACATCTTTAGTCTTCAAGGTCAAGTAACTTTCATTAACCTCTCAAAGCTCTCCTGGATTATAATGATTTACTGTCACCAATAATTCTTAAATTATTTTATAATAAATTGTGAAAATCTGACTTAAATGAGAAACTTCAACCTATGAAACTCTAACAGGGCTCATCTAGTTCTGGTCACTGTAGCGAAAGAACTGTGAGACAAACACATCATGCAGATTAGCTGATAAAATTCTGTGCCGTTACTGGCTGTGACTTTTCATAACACACAAAAACTTAACGTTCAGTGAGGAACATATTTTGTACTTGGCTGTTTCTGTAGTATGTTACTACTGCTACCCTGGACAAGTTCTGGGGGCACTGACTGCGCCTGCTGCACTGTCCTCATTTCTGCCTTCGACCGTAAATTTCTTGTGCTGTTTGGATTACTTTTATATTAATTTACTGACACGAGTCACGCTGTAGATACCACCCGAGAACCATTCGTTAGATTCAAGTAGTAGTTTATTTTAAAAACCTCTTAATAAATTCACCAACATATTAAAGTGCATGCTAAAAATCTTAAATTGTCTATACCGCCGGTAAATGTAAAGTTTAAATATCTTATGGAGTTTAAATATCTTAATCCAGACAGTAGAAACTTGTCATTACACCGTGTATCCTGGAAGCTTGTTTATTACAAGTTCACTGATGTCCTTGTATTGATTAGGAACACATAGTTGTCCCAGAAAATTATTCTCTTTGTCTGACAGACTGTCTTCCAGGACGCCAAGTTCAAGATCAGACACGTTAGATGGCAAGTTAGAGCTGACTTGAGTTACTGACTGGCTTTTTCCCTCAAAGCTCTGCCCCTTTCCTATATTCAGACCAGTATCAGAGCTAACTTGCGTTCTTCTCAGTGTAGGTTGCTGTTTAATACGCTGATCATCCCTGTTCCCTTCCTTACTGATGTGTCGGGCTTCCTGCGCTTCATTTAATGATGCTGCTTCCATTTGAGCAATGTGAAGTGAATCAACAGATTCACCACTAGTTCTCTGGCTGTTTTTTAAGTCATCGTTTTTCTTCAAAGACGGGACTGGAGGTAAAGCTGAAGGAACTGGCAGAAGATCTGAAGTACTTCCAGCTCTTTGACTTGTCTTTGAAATTGTGGACCTGCTGGATTCCGACTCTGTATCTGACCAACCTTGCTTTGGGCTTTCAAGCCACAAAGGTTCACGACTGCTGTCAAGAGCTTCTGACTCTCTGCCCATACACTCATCACTGGTGAAATCTTCTGAACAAGCTGTGTTCTCAGGACTAGCAACAAAGTCATCTGAATATATGAATTCAGAGTAATTTTCAACACTCCTGTTGGGGCTTGGTTTATGATCACTTACAACAGACACATCATCACGCTCTGTGGTTTTAGGATGGATCAAGTGTATTGCTTCCTCATTACTTCCCTTTGCATTAGCATCTGATGGGAAAGCTTCTGGGAGTTGGGCTTCTGCAGACTTTTCCTTGTGAGCAGATTTTAATATAGTTTCCTCCACTAAGGGGGGTGTACGTACTTTGCGTAGACGTTCCTTGCTTGCAATTTCATCATTCTTCAGTAGACTTTCCCTAGCCCATTTCTGCAGATCAGGGGACACATCTGTCACAGAAATGTGCTCTGTGAGAGCACTGTTTTGTAATGAAGTCCCAATAGTTTTATCAAAGTCATTATTCTGCTTCGAACTGTTTCCTTTGCTACAATCCCTGTAAGAAACTACATGCTGTTCTCCAGCATTTCTGAGCAGCTTTCTTTTGGACAAAGGACTTTTCTTCAGCATCTCCATTTGCTTCTTTCTGTGCTGCTCTCTCCTTTCATGAATTATCAGCTTATCAGGGTTGTTCTGCTGCAGCCGTAGCCTCAGAGTATTTGTCAGCCCATACAACAGCTTCTTTCTGGGAGGTCTGTTTTCTTTAGTTTTGTTCCTTTCAGAGCCTATCTCTCCCTGGGGTGCAGCTTTCTTAGGTCCTCTCCCAGCCCAAAGAGACCCTGGTGAGGTGGCCTCTTGCCAGCCTTGCTTCAGTCGAGGGCTGGCACCTCCACTGCTCCCACCAGGACCCACAGTTGCCTCTACTGGCTTGAAGGTGGAGGAGAGGCTGGGGCTAGGGGGCCGTGAAGCCACACCACCACTCTTCGGGGCCCGGTAGAGCCAGGCAAGATGGGGGTGGACAGCAGGAGTAGTGCTGTGGGCAAGCACCGACAGCTCTGCCAGCAAGGCACTGAGGAGCGGCAGCTGCCCCAAGGTGTCGTGGAGCTGTCGAGGGGTAGCAGGGTGCAGCAGTGAGGGCCCAGCACTGGGACGTGGCGGGCTCTGGGTGTCATTGCTGTCCTGCGGTCTACAGACCTTGATGTGCTCCCATGGACCTCCGGTCGCTGCTGCTGGTGGCTGGCGAGGCGCAGCAGCCCCGCGGCTGTAGTAGAGCATGGGAGGGCAGAAGATGTTGCCCTCCAGCTCCTCATCCTCCTCCTCAGGCTCCGGGGAGGGGGCAGGCAGCACGGCAGCGTGGGGGCTAGCG